AGTTTTTCACTCTCCTTTTTCTCTTTCATCAAGAGGTTCTTTAGTTCCTCTTTGCTTTCTGCCATAATGGTGGTATCATCTGCATATCTGAGGTTATTGATATTTCTCCCAGCAATCTTGATTCCAGCTCGTGCTTCATCCAGCCCAGAATTTCACATGATGTATTCTGCATATAAGTTATATAAGCAGGGTGACAATATACAGCCTTGACATACTCCTTTGCCAATTTGGAACCGGTCTGTTCTTCCACGTCCAGTTCTAACTGTTGCTTCTTGACCTGCATACAGATTTCTCAGGAGGCAGGTAAGGTGGTCTGGTACTCCCATCTCTTTCAGAATTTTCCAGTTTGTTGTGATCCATACAGTCAAAGGTTTTAGCATAGCCAATGAAGCAGAAATAGATGTTTTTTTTAAATTCTCTGGCTTTCCCTATGATCCAATGGGTGTTGGCAATTTGATCTCTGGTTCCTCTGCCTTTTCTAAATCCAGCTTGAACATCTGGAAGTTGTTCGCAGACTGTTCACGTACTGTTAAAGCCTGGCTTGGAGAATTTTGAACATTATTTTGCTAGCATGTGAGATGAATGCAATTGTGCGGTAATTTGAACATTCTTTGGTATTGTCTTTCTTTGGGATTGAAATGGAAACGGATGTTTTCCAGTCCTGGGGCCACTGCTAAGTTTTCCAAATTTGCTGACATATTGAGTGCAGCACTTCCACAGCACCATCTTTTAGAATTTGAAATAGCTCAACTAGAATTCCATCACCTCCACTAGCTTTGTTCATAGTGATTCTTCCTAAGGCTCACTTCACTTCGCACTCCAGGATGTCTGCCTCTAGGTGAGTGATTGTACCATTGTGGTTATCTGGGTCATTAAGATCTCTTTTGTATAGCTCTTCTGTGTATTCTTGCCACCTCTTCTTAATATCTTCTGTTTTCTGTTTCTGTTAGGTTCAGGAGCTTGCTCTGTCCACTCCACACATCGACCTGGTATTGCAGATAATAAATTACTTGTTGTTTAATTTAAACCAGTTGAGTTGCATCTTTCTGTTGCTTGTAGCAAAAAGCATTCTAATTGATATACATCCATAAATAAAACTACATAATTACTTTGAATGGTTGCCTATTCTATTGCTCATAGAACTAACACTGGAACATTCCCAATTGTTTAACATTTAGGCCGTTTTAAACATTTTTGCCATAATAAACAACCCTGATGAGTATCAGTACTTTCATTAATTCAATTTTCAAGCAACACTTTGTGTGTCTATATACCTTCCATCCTCTGACAATAAGTCTCTATCCTAGAAGATTGGTCCCACTGAGGTGCAGGTTCTTATATCTGACAGTTTTGTCAAAGATCTCCATTTTTTTTCTTCTAGTGGAAAGAGCATGGACTTTGAAACCAGACAGAAATGGTTAAAAACCTCTGCTGCTTCCAAGCCAATCTTATGAGCTTCAGTTTCCATGCTCTGTGCAAAGCTGTTGTCAGGACTAATGGGAGGGTACATATTAAGAAGCCAGTGTGGAGTCTGATGCATCCTAAGTGCTGCAGTGGTCCTTGATTTAGCATTTTGTTACTTAGAGGAATGTACATGGGAAAAGAGGAATAGGGGTACTTCTCTCAAAATATGGCAGTAAGATGCTACTTGCTTTCTTTCCAGAAAGGCCAAGACTTCCTGCTATTTTTTTTTTAATTTATAATTTGACATAATTCAGATTTACAGAAGAGTGGCAAAAGATAGCACAAAGAGTTCCTGTATACCTTTCACCCAGCTTCCTCTAAGGTTAACATCTTACATAACATGGCACACGTATCAAAACCAACAAGTTACTATTGGAAATATCATCAAGTATTGACTTTATCTGGATTTAACTAGTTTTTCCACTCGCGTGCCTTTTCCCCTTCCAGGATGCAATCCAGGATACCATGTTGCATCAGATCTTGCTGTTTTTTAATAGACTCAAAGCCTCTGAGGGCCGAGCCGAACACACTTCTGCCGGGAAAATCTCCAGAGCTAGCATTTATTGTGTGTTTAAGAGTAGCCATCCTCACCACCCTATGGGGGAGGTATTCCTGTCCTCATTTTACAGATGGAGACACTGAGTTTCAGAGAAGTTGAGAGGCTCCATCAGGGTCACCCAGAGGCACAGCCGTGTTAAACTGGGCAGCCTGGTTTCTGCTTAGCTGCCTTCCGGGAGAGTACACACTCCGCTGGCCAGAGCCAGTGTTCCGTGGGTGGCCATGGGGAGCAGGGTCCCAAATCGAGCCCTTTCTGAGGACCCCTGCTCCCTCTGGGTTACCTCCTGGCTGGCAGGCCCCCTGTACAACCCTTCTCCCGCTCCCACCTAGTTCTCTCTGGCTCCCAGCAAAGTTGTAGCCTGTCCATCCTCCCACCGTGCGCTTGGCAAAGGCGCCTCCTGGTGTTTGCATTTGAATAGAGGCTCCAGCCTGCAAGCAAACAATGAGGCCGGTGAGGGATGGGGGAGGACTCAACCCATCACGTTCCTGCAGCCCCTTCTTTACCAGCCACCCTAAGGCAGAAGGTGGTTCTCCACTTACTCAGCAGGCTTATTTCTCCACTTGCGGTATCATAGACAGTGCCTTTCTCCCTCTCATTCGGGGACCGCCCCTGATCCTGAGGACAGTTCAGTTCAGTTCAGTCTCTCAGTCATGTCTGACTCTTTGCGACACCATGGACTGCAGCACACCAGGCCTCCCTGTCCATCGCCAACACCCGGAGCTTGCTCAAACTCATGTCCATCGAGTCGGTGATGCCATCCAACCATCTCATCCTCTGTTGTCCCCCTCTCCTCCCACCTTCAATCTTTCCCAGCATCAGGGTCTTTTCAAATGAGGATAGGAAAGGGTCTTTTTGACACAGCCTGGGGTCTCCCACTAGCTCTGCCCACTGCCATGAGGGAAGCAGGCAGCTTCAGCCTGCTCTCTCAGCTCCCAGCTCCCTCACCACCTCTGTGCCCTCGAGGGGCTTCTAGTGACCTGACTGCAGGGCTAGATGTCTCCTGCGACAGTGCAGCCGGCAGCTACAAGCATTACTTCTAAGCTACCCAGCTGGTAAGTGGCCAAGCATGGGCCCAAACCTCAATCTGGCTGGCTCCAAACTATAATCCTTCCACTACACCAAATGTTCCACCGTGATTATTCTCGAAACAAGATCATTGCCAAAACCAACCTCGGGTTCCTGGTGCCGGGAGGACCTGTGCTGGCCCAGCTCGGGCCGCGTGCAGATCCCAGGCTCTGGAGGACCAGGCTGGGGACAAAGCCCCTTTCTAAGGCACCTGCCGGAAGGCAGATGAAGGTTCTCCGCCTGGCAGGCAGGAGGGCACGGGTAAGGGCTTGCGTCCTGTCAGGGAGCGGGCATTTCCTCGTTCAGGTGACACAGTTTGCAGAAGGCTGATAGTGAACTGCGTCTCTATTTATCTGGCAAACCTGGCCTTCCCAGGGTGGAGCAGCGTTAATCCTCCTGTTTACCTCAAGTGAGTTGGGTGAAACTAGAATTGTCTGAAGTGAGAACCACCTTTCAGCCGTGGGCCTGACCTCAGTCCTGACACAGAAACCAGAGGTGGGGGGAAATTGTCACAGCACTGGAAGCTGCCATCTCAGAGTCACCGACCAGTCGTTTGTGCCCCTCTTGGTCACGGGTGGTTGGAGTGGCTGGGTGGGCCCTGGAGAGCTTTAGAGCAAGAGTAGAACAGCTAAGCCGTGCCCGGCACTGTGTACCGTGAATCGAGCGCTTCACCCGTGGTGACGTGGTTACGCCTCGGAACTGCAAGAGGTGAGGTTTAACAACTGTCTCCACTTTACAGATGAGATAACTGAGGCACAGAGAGCTTAAATACACTGCTAAGTTCACCCGGCCGTTCAGTGGCAGAGCTGCAAGTTGAACCTGGGCAGTCTGGGTGCATGTAATCATTAGTCTATATACTGGTGACCAACCTAGACAGAGGTCTGGAGGGACATGGACCAAAGCATTCGTGCTGGCTGTCTAAGGTGGTTTTCCTTAACTTTTCTATTTGGCTTTCCTATGTATGTAGTGTTAGTTGCTCATTCGTGTCCGACTCTTTATGATGTCATGGAATGTAGCTCGCCAGCCTCCTCTGTCCATGGGATTCTCCAGGCAAGAATTTTGGAGTGGGTAGCCATTCCCTTCTCCAGGGGCTTTTCCTGACCCAGGGATCAAACCTAGGTCTCCGGCATTGCAGGCAGATTCTTTACCCTCTGAGCCACCAGGGAAGACCATTTGGCTTTCTTAGTTTTCTACAAAAATATGTTTTGTGGGGACAGGGGAAGCAATACAAAGAATTATCCTAGAGAAAAGAGAAGGTCGTTAGTGAGTGCGTGTTGCCCAGGGCTCTGTTCCAGAAGGCTTTCACAGAAAATCAGTTTGGAGAGCCTGTGGTGGCTCAGGTGGACAGACGGCATACTTGCCTAAATCACTGATATAAAATGAGAGCTTTACTTATTTACTCATTCATGTATTGCTTCAATTAGTCATTCATTCCTTCAAAAACATATGGAGCTCCTGCCCTGTCTAGGTACTGTGGTGGGTGCTGGGGACTCAGTTATGCTTAAGACAAAGTCACTACCCTCCAGGGGATCCTGATCCCAGGGTGAGGGTGGAGAAAGCTGTGCTTTCAATTAAGCACCTGGTAATATATTAAGGAATAAAAGAGTTTGCAAGTCTCTTTTCTCCACCAGAGTTTGCACCCTTGAGGGCAGAGACTGGTACAAATGAATACCTGCCACATACTTCAACCATCCATTCATTCGTGTACTTTTGCATTACCACGTGGCTTTTGAAAAGATAGGGTATACATAGAAGGAGCAACCCAGATGGTCATTTCTCCAGGTTGAGCGAGGCAGAGAAGAGGATCGTTAGAAAAATCTCCATAGAGACTTAAGCAGAGGGGTAATAACTGAGAAGGTTTTTTTGCCAGGTTGGGAAGGTACTTCCTGGTAGGGGGAACAGCATATGAAAAATGACCGTGGTGTGCGAAGTTGCCAGTGCATTTGAGGAACCTCCAGAAGTTCAGTATGGCTGGAACATAGAGTGTATGTCAGAGGGAGTGCAGACTGGGGGAAGGATAGGACTGGAGGGGTACGCAGGGCCCAGACTCCAATGGCCTTTGTCATGCTAAGGAGCTGGGACTTATATGTGGTTAAGATACAAGGAGAAAGAATCAAAGGATGGAGTGAGGGATGTATGTGCAGATGTAGTTAGGATGTGTGAAGCCTTCTCCTCCTCCTCCTCCATTCCCTGTTTCATAAGCCCTCACCTTCCCTTTTATAAAGGAGTGAAAGCATAGGAAATGAATCTTTCAGCACCGACTATGAGTACCCTGTGGTGAGTGCTTTGCCACCTTTAATCCTTACTCTGGTAGACATCACCAGTCCCATTTTCCAGATGAGGAAACTGAGGCTCAGAGCAGTTAAGTGGCAGAGCTGAGGTTTGCACAGACATGCATTCAGTTCCAAAAGCAATGCTCTGTACACTGGGCCAGACAGAACCACTTAATGTGGAATGAAGCTTTTCTCTTCACGAAGTGTTTCATGTACCTAGGCTCATTGGATTCTTGCCGTGACATGGAGTGGTAATTTGGGCAAGTAACATCATTCTCTTTTTCAGGAGGAAAATTGAGTCAGAGGGGTTCATTGACTCCGTGACAGTGATTTGAGAGTTTCAGGATTAGAGACATCCAAAGTACAGAACAGATACCTATCTGAAAACCACACATGGAAACAAAAATAACCTGGAGACAGTTCTCGGTGCAAAGGGGCAGTTGTGGACATGCCACATGCACACAGGAGATCCTCGGCGTGTGGAGGTTTGCAGCTGGAACAGCCGGAGGGGCCAATCCAAGTGGCTGAGCTAATCCCTTCCTCTGCCTTCTGCCTGCTTCCTCTGTCACCTCCAGGGCCCCTCCTGAGGGGACATCTGTGGATTCTCCACGGAATCCCTCATTTAGCTCCCGAGACCCAGCACAAGCCTGGGTGCAGAATGTTGGTGCAATTTTGACAAGATGCTCACAGAGGTTCAGTGACTAGTTTTAATTAGGCCATCTTTGTTTACGTTTGATGTTTATCAGCTAATTGGCATGGCAAGGTGTGAGTCACACAGCTTTCCCCTGGCATGGAATCAGTTTGTCAGAGAAAAAAACCAGGAGAACAAATGATCCCAATTATGAGAGAACCCACTGGGCTAATTATCGTCCCACTAAGGACAGAGCCTCCCCTCCTCCTGCTGTCGTTGCTGCAACTGCGGCTGAGGCTACACCAAGTGCCCTGGGTCCCCGTACCCTGCCCCCGCTCCAGAACCCCAGTAGCCTGGGATCCAGGCCCCCAGCTGGCTGCCTGGACAGTTGTTCTCTTGAATTCAGAGCCCACATGTCCCCTCCACTTAGACGCAGCCGGGCAACGTGTGACCTTAGACTCAAGATCATTTTCCCTGTAACCTCTTCCATGAATAATAGCTCATGTATGTTGTGCCTTTCCTGTGTGCCAGACACTGTTGAAAGCACTTTATAATTCTTTCCCCAATAACATGATGTCAGGTCTTACTATTACCTCCATTTGACAGATGAAGAAACTGAGGTAGGTAGAGATTAAATAAGCTGTCCAAGGGCAAGCGACAGAACTAGGGTTTGAGCCCACATTATCTTTCATCACAGCACCGGCTCCCGACCACCCAGGATTCTTGCAATGTCAGAAAGGCCCCAAATCTGACCAGTTAGGATCTGTAGGCAGATTCCTGGGGGCCACTCTCCTTCTAACTACAAAGGTACCACTACCTTCTAGCACAGTGCTGTCCAGAACCTTCTGCAGTGATATGCATGTTTATCGCTCTGTCCAATGCAGTTGCCACTCAGCCAGGTGTGGGTACTGAGCATGTGATATTGTGGTTAGTGGGACCAAGGAAGTGAATTCTAAGTTTTATTTCATCTTAATTTTAATTGAAAGAGCTGCGTGTGGCCCATAGCTACCCTGATGGATAGGACAGTTCTGGCTGGTCAGCCCTCATTCTTCAAAGGCAGCCGTTCCCTAATCAACCCTGTGTTTGTGACCCTCCCATCCCCCACTGCAGCTTTCTGGCCTCCTAGGGGGCTTTCTTGGTGCAGACAGAGGGACGGAGGTCTCTTCCTTTTCTGCATTCTCCCCCTCCTGCTCTCTAAGCCCCCTCCAGCCGAGAGGGGCTCGCGTGGAGGAATGCGGCTCGGCTGCCCTTGAGTTGAATGATGATCGTGGACCTTTGGAATGTCCACAAAGCCCCACACCCTCAGCCTCCCCAGTCTCCCTCCTTTGCCGGGTAACAGATGGCCCCAGCTTTCACCAGCCGGGCCTGAACACATTGTCACTCCCAGCTGAAAGTGAAATATTCAGTGGCATTTAAATTAAATAGACTCTAATGCTTCAGTAATATTAATTACGTTTTCATTCATCCCTGGCCTAATAAATCAATGCGGAAAGAGGGGAGGCTCAGGAGGCTGGCAGCCGAGTGGGGCCACTGGGCCTTTGTGTGAGCCCGCACACAATGCCCCCATTCTTACCGGGCCGCGCTTGCCCCTGCAAACATCTGTGCTCAGCCCCTCTCGAGGAGGAGCCAAAGGGGTAACATTTACACTCTACTCATCCAATTTGTCCCAGCACCAGGGCCCGAGTCAACGGGAAATGTGAAGGCCATGCTGAAAATAACATGCAGGACTCGAATGCCTGTGTGTTTGGAAGCTGGGATGTTTGCAAAATTTCTGGGGCAGAGGGTTAGGGGGCTGATGGAGAGAGGAGGTGCTGTCAGACTTCGAGCTGCAGGACTGTGCTGGCTCAGCTTTGACTGTAGGAGGAAGGTAGGGAGGGGAAAATAACAGCTACCATGAAATGAATGCTTATTATGTGCCAGGAACTGTGCTAAGCACTTTATTTTTTTTTTAAGCAAGGTTTGTTTACTTATTTATTTATTGGCTGCACCTTGTCTTAGTTGCAGCATGCAGGATCTAGTTCCCTGACCCGGGATCGAGCCGCAGTCTCCTGCCCTGGGGATGTGGGGTCTTAGCTACTGAACAGTCATACAAGTCCCTGTGCTAAGCACTTTTATTTTATTCATTCATCTTATTTATTTATTTCATACGGTAATCTGGCATTAAATAGCAACTACTATTGGCCCATTTTACAGATGAGAAATTTATCTGTGGATGGTTCAGAGAAATTGAGAAACTTGCTATGGTTCCAGCTCATGTCTTTGTGATTCCAAAAGTCCACAGTCTTCACCTCTGGATGTACTCTTACCAGAAGAAAAATACAGAAGAAAAGAAGGGGTTGCAAGGGGTGTGTTTTAGGCGGAGGGCAAGAGGCCAGCATTTGAGAAGTTTGCAATGCTCCTCTTGGTTTCAGAGGGATTTTGCCTTTGGGGAGGTCTGTCCCTACCCACCAGAGTCCCCACCCCACTCTGGGGCTATACATATGTAAAAGAAGCCAATAAAACAGCGAGAGAGGCTGCCCTCCTAAATCTTCAGGGGACAAAACCTCCCACTTGTGATGCTTCAAAGCTGCCCAGAGCTACCAGTTTACCCCCAGAAGTCCTCACTCAATGCCTCTGATTGGAAAATAAATAGCCTTGCACATAAAAACCACAGGCCAATTGTAAGCCTGGGGAATGGGAAAGTGCCGGGTGTGGACCACTGTGCACCAGCCCCGGGCCAGCCCTCCCCAGGCTGCCTCTCCTTAGAGAGATGAGTGGGAGCTAAGGTGAGGGCCCAGTGGAAAGGGAGATCTCAAAATTGTCCCCTGAGATTTTTTTAACGAGATATAATTGACCTATAACGTATTAATTTCATATGTATGACATAAAATGATTCAATATATTGTGAAATGATAGAAAAATTTTAAAAAACAGGTCAACAAATAAATGTTAAATTCTACAATTTATTGCATAAAAACTAAGAAATACATACAAGCAGAAGGAAGGGGAAACATCACCTGAGTCCTCCTGCCCCATTTTGAACGATTAGTTTTGCAACTTATGGATGAAATGTGGTTTATTGAATTAATCCCTACTGTTGGATATTTGACTTGTTTTTATTTTTCCTGTTTCACAAACAGTGCTATAATGGATTTCTTTGTGGCTAAATTGAGGTGCATAACCTCAGATATGCAGATGACACCACCCTTATGGCAGAAAGCAAAGAGGAACTAAAGAACTCCTTGATGAAGGTGAAAGAGGAGAGTGAAAAAGCTTGTTTAAAATTCAACATTCAAAAAATTAAGATCATGGCATATAGTTGCATCACTTCACGGCAAATAGATGGAAAACGATGGAAACAGTGACAGACTTTATTTTCTTGGGCTCCAAAATCACTGTAGACTGTGACTGCAGCCATTAAAAGGCACTTGCTCCTTGTTAGAAAAGCTATGACAAATATAGACAGCATATTAAAAAGTAGAGCCATTACTTTGCCAACAAAGTTCTGTCTAGTCAAAGCTATGGTTTTTCCAGTGGTCATGTATGGATGTGAGAGTTGGACCATAAAGACGACTGAGCACCAAAGAACTGATGCTTTTGAACTGTGGTGTTAGAGAAGACTCTTGAGAATCCCTTGGACTGCAAGGAGATCCAATCAGTCCATCCTAAAAGAAATCAATCCTGAATATTCATTGGAGGGATTGATGCTGAAGCTCCAATATTTTGGCCACCTGATGCAAAGAGTCAACTCATTGGGACCCTGATGCTGGGAAAGATTGAGGACAGGTGGAAAGGGGACGACAGAGAAAGAGATGGTTGGATGGCATCGCCGACTCGATGGACATGAGTTTGAGCAAGTTCCAAGAGATGGTGATGGACAGGGAAGCTTGGCGTGCTGCAGTCCATGGGGTCGCAAAGAGTCGGACACGACTGAGCGACTGAACAATAATGATGAAATTGAGGTGCACACACATTCGTGATAAGCATCTTAGAATAAATTTCTCAAAGAGAAATTGCTAAGTCAAAGCAAATTACGTGCATATTTTGAAGGCAGAAATCCCGAGTGTCTGTTGTGTGTGTTTCTGTTAGTCACTCAGTTGTGTCTGACTCTGTGCAACCCCATGGACTGTAGCTCGCCTGGCTCCTCTGTCTGTGTGATTCTCCAGGCAAGAGTGCTGGAGTGCACTGCCATTCCCTTCTCTAGGGGATCTTCCCAACCCAGGGATCGGATCCAGGGCTCCCATATGGCAGGCAGATTCTTTGCTGTCTGAGCCTCTGTTAGGATTTTTTTTTTAATGATATGGAAAGAAAGTATCAACCCCAGACCCAATTTCTACCCAGTGTAAATATCCTCACCCTCTGTCACTGAAGCTTGATACTTAAGGCAGGTTTGATTGTGCAGGTCCAAGCTCTGGAACCGTCTAATCTTCATGTTGGTGATTGTGATTCAGCATCTGCAGCTCCAGGATGAGGGCAGCAGCAGGTCCTGAAACTTGTCCCTTCAATGTCCCACAAGAAGCAGCTGAATAGAATGTCCCAGCCTGTGGTCTCTGGAGTCAGCCTAGATTGAACATCAGTTCCACCTCTGATAGGCTGATGTCACAAGGGAAATCACCCATCCCCTCTGAATCTCAGTTCCCCATCTGCAAATTAATGGGTGATGACTGTGTCTTATATCTCTGTGAAGATTTTATATGTAAAACACTTAGCACAGTGCCTGATACAAGGTAAACATTCATCCAACATTGGCTACTGTACTGTTATTAAACTGATCAAAATCAACCCTGAATATTCATTGGGAGGTCTGATGCCAAAGTTGAAGCTCCAGTATTTTGACCACCTGATGCAAAGAGGCGACTCACTGGAAAAGATCCTGATGCTGGAAAGATTGAGGACAGGAGGAGAAGAGGGCGAAAAGGAATGAGATGGTTGGATGGCATCACTGACTCAATGGACATGAGTTTGAGCAAGCTCCAGGAGATAGTGAAGGACAGGGAAACCTGGCATGCTGCAGTCCATGGGGTCAGAAAGAGTTGGATACAACTTAGCGACTGAATAACAACAATTAATGTGCTATTCAATCAACCTTATTTATTCAAGTCTTGGGATTTTCTTGAAGGCAGCAAGATATACCACAAATTGTACCCTATTTAATGTAATGCTTATGGGGAAACACTGGAAATAGTGGCTGACTTTATTTTTCTGGGCTCCAAAATCACTGCAGATGGTGATTGCAGCCATGAAATTAAAAGACGCTTACTNTTAGGAGCTCAATATGCTTCATAAAAATTCTGTTTCTGAGCCATCACAGGTTTTTGTTTGTTTGTTTATTTGTACTTCTAGCCACAGGGATAAATGATCTCTTTTGCTTTTGGTTTCACTCTTTCTAATATTTTTGAGCCTTTATATACGTGTTTTTATGTAGAAGTAGATTATGTAGTATTAACTTTGCTCAACTCTCCTGAGAGTCCCATGAGGCTGGTAAAAAAGTATTAGAAGTTGTCTTTTGCCTGAAGTCAGTAGAAAGTGAAAATAGAGCTCTTTTTCAGGTGAGAGAAGTTTCCATTTATTTTTAACACATAAAAGTATCATTATATGGGTTAAACAACAGATGTGTGAGATAAGAAGTATTAACATATTAGTTTATAGCTTTCTGCTTAATGCACCTACTAAAAAAGAATATAGGTCATGTGAATGTTCAGAAAGTTAATTTTAGCTATAATTAATAAATAATTTTTCTCACAATTATAAACATTTCTGTATTTCTTCTAGGTAACATATATTGGACAGATCATGGTTTCAACTTAATTGAAGTTGCAAGACTCAATGGCTTTTTTCGTTATGTAATAATTTCCCAAGGCCTGGATCAACCAAGATCTATAGCTTTGCACCCAGAAAAAGGGTAAGTTTAACATTTACATATATTTGGGAATTTTAGGTGACTTTTTAAAGTTTCATTAAAAGAAAAATCTGTATGTTGATATTAATATTTATTTTTAATCATAGTGTCTGAAACAAATTTTATTATCTTACCTAAAAGTTTGTTTTCACTTTGTCATGTGCATTTCAGTACATATTTGATGGGCTTAACATTTATTATGTGTATTTATTTATTTATGGTTGCACTGAGTCGTCATTGCTACCTGCAGACTTTCTTTAGTTGAGGCAAGTGGGGACTACTCTCTACTTGAGGTCTGGTGGGCTTCTAATTGCAGGGACTCTAGGGTGCCTGGGCTTCAGTAGGTATGGCGCATGGGTTTGGTTAGTCCAAGGTATGTGGAATCTTTCCAGATCAGGGATCGAACCCTTGTCCTCTGCATTGGACGGTGGTTCTTAACCAATGGACCACCAGGGAAGTCTTTATGCAGTTCTTTAATGTGTGTGTAAATCCAAATGAGTGCACCAGTGCTTTTCTAGATTATTCATTCAAAGTTCTTCCCTAAAACTGTTTATGTGTTTGGAAGTCAGTGTTTTTTTGGTGAATGAAGTTACCATCTGATAGCCAACCTTGTTCTTCAGTATTTCTAAAGCTTCAGTTTCCATTTCTATATTTATAATTGTTATATATACATGTTCATCCCAAGCTTTTTTTCCTCTTCTTCTTAAGTTACAAATAAGTATGTCTACCTGTCTTATTGAAAGTTCCATTTTTCCATTTGGACAACCAAACTCTACAGTCTAATTAAAATTCTACAATCTGAGTTTCTATTAATAGTTTCAATTAAATAAACTGAGTTTCTGTTACTAGGAGAAAAGGAAAATCTTGAGATGAATTTCAAAGAGACAATATGACATTTTTGGTATCTCTCTCACATATCCTATGTTCAGTATACCAGAAATCCTGTTACCTTTGGCTTCAAAATACATTTATGCTTTACCCACTTCTCCTAGTTTTCATTGTTTCCACCCTAGTCTGAGTATAATCACTCTTGCCAGCATTTCAGGATTGTGGATTACCATCTTCTATCCTTGTATTCCTACAGTCTATTCTTCATTTCACAGCCTAATGATCCTTCTCAAATGTAAGTGGCAGTAACTTCTTTGCTCAGAATTCACCAGTGAGTCCTCTTTCACTGTTTAAAAGTTTATAACAAACTTGTTAGAGTGTTTTTGTTGCCTTTTAATTACTAAATCATGTCTGACTCTGTTATACCTGCTGGACTGCAGCCCACCAGGCTCTTCTGACCATGGGATTTCACAGGCAAGAATATGGAAAGGGTTGCCATTTCCTGGGCTACCCAGTTGGTTCAGGGGTAAAGAATCCACCTACATTGCAGGAGACACGGGTTTGATCCCTGGGTAGGGAGGATCCCCTGGAGGAGGGCGTGGCAACCCACTCCAGCATTCTTGCCTAGAGAATCCCATGGACAGAGCAGCCTGGTGGACTTCAGTCCATAGGGTTACAAAGAGTAGGACACGACTGAAGCAACCGCACAACACGCATGCGCACTGTTTTCTTCTCCAGAGTATCTTCCTGACTCAGGGATTGAACCCACGTCTCCTGCATTGGCAGGCAGATTCTTTACCACTGAGTCAACAGGGAAGCCCAGAGTAGCACTATTTCCTCCATTTTACAGAAGAGGAAACTGATTCCACAATTAAAATATATTACTCTGTCATTAACATGACATATGGGAGAGTTATATTTTCTAAATTTCAAAGATCATGCTGCATTATATATGTATGTATGTATGTGTGCCACCTGTTACATATACACATATAAGTATTACAGAAACTAATAACCAAAAATATCAATCATATAAGAAAATAGGCTTAACAGATTTAGCAAAAAGTTATAATAAAAATTTAAGGACTTGAACTATAAGCGAAAGAGAGAATAAACAATAATGAGAAAATGCTGGAAAAGCTAGATGTTTTAGAAAATATTTGAGTTGAGTCTGACTTGTCCGATACATTCTCTTGCCTACAGCTGCATGTCCATGGACACTTACCAGTATGCATTAAGAATGTTGAGGGAAGGTATAATTTTGTTTAGTTCCAAGAATAAAACACATGAGTCAATTTAGTGTGTCCACATCATATCTGTAAACTTGAATACAAAATTTCCTTTTCCAGTGTGATGGTGGCTCAGATGATAAAAAATCTGCTTGCAGTGCAGGAGACTCTGGTTCAATCCCTAGGTCAGGAGGATCCCCTGGAGAAGGGAATGGCAACCACTCCAGTATTCTTGCCTGGAGAATTCCTCGGACAGAGGGTCCTGGTGAGCCACAGTCCATAGGGTCACCAAGAATCAGACACGACTGAATGACTAACACTGACTATTGCAATGACATTTTAAAAATCTCTTTTTCATTTATACTTTATAATAAAGCAGTGAATCAGTATACCCTCAATGGAAAAAAATAAACCTGATCAATTGTTGGACTATATGTAATTATTTTGAAGGTAGGAACAAATATAATTTGAATGTTATGAAATTTTATAGATACACAGGAAATGGGTTTGTTTGAATAATTTCTTCCCATCATATTTGTAATAAGTCCAGTGCTTCACTTTATTCTAGAGAACTTCTTGTGCCTGGTCTATTATTGATTAATGCAGTTCAGTTTAACAGGCCTCTTGCTGCTAACTTATCAATCTTTAGTTTTCTCTTGCATTTCTTTTGAGGCTGAGTTTTGCCCTCAAGTTGTTATTCCAGACCTTCTTTTGCTAAGTATGTTTTGTATAGTCATCTTAGCATATAACTGTATCTATTTCTCTTCAGAATGATTGAAGACATCAGGTAAAATATCTGCATATACTTCACTATTTTGTCAGTTTAAGTGCTATGCCCAGCCAACAAGGTCATGTCAGGACGTCTACATCTCCTTCTCAGCCTTTAATTCAGAACATGTTGACAAAACAGGGTGATAGGTGATGTGAAAGATACTAGTAGACACTGTAAAGTATGATGATACAAATAAGGTGTAGCTATTGTTCACAATGAGTTTTCTGTTTAAACTTTTAAACAGGTACAAAATTTTGTTAAAAAATTAAGTAACATAATGTAAAGTAGAACTAATATGGAAGCACCAAAAGACTATATTGATATAGCTCAAGCTTAAATCTGATACCTAAATTTCATGTTAAAGTGAAAATTTTTATACAACTATTATAAAACTACATTAAAATTTCAGAAAACAGAGATGGCTTATGACTGGTGTAGGTAGTAAAAGTGAGGGTAATAGCAGCTGTGGTGATGATTAGCAGACACTTTATTGAGGAGACATGAAGAAGGAATGTTTCTGAGATGGAGTAGAAATATATTATATGAATAAGAAATAAAATAAATAAAAAATTAGTAGTGGCAACGCAAAGGCCATTGCCAAGAGCAAAAGTATATAAAGGGCATGTAGGGAAAGGTAGTTAATGCAGGTGGAAGTAAGTTGGGGCCATAAAATTGGAAATTGGATTCCCCACATTTTGAAAATATTGTGATGACTCCATCCCCAGTTTACCAAGTGAAACACAAACTGGTCCTGGATCCTCTCTCGTAAGCCTTCCCCTTAACCCCAGAGAATCCACATAAGCAGAGATCAGAAGTACGTTGAAGTTGTTGCATTCTTTAAGAAATTCTTAGGAAGGGTTCTTTATCCTTCCAGGAAGGATGTTATGGAGGAAGAGGAAGGGTTCTTTTCTCTGTCCTCAGATCAAGAAAGAGAGACAACCAGAGACCAATATATAAGTGGAAAACTAAAATAAATATAAAAGTTGTAAATGGAAAAGTTGTGTGACTTTTTACTGCAAGTTCTTAAGCCAAGAGGAGTCAGATCAAAGCTGGAAAGAGGGAAGAAGATTTTAAAATAGATATGAGATATAAGTTTGGACTTAGAAAGATCTGGTCTTTTATGTATGAGAATTAATCTTAATAATATTATTCTGTTTTTTTTTTAACTAGAATTGTCTTGGAAGTCTTGGATTCTTCCTGAGATATCAAATTCTGGAGAAGAGATAGTTAGTAGAGCATAAATAGAAGCAAGAGTTGGATAAATATAGTCATTCCTACTTATTCCAACAGAGTTCAAGTTCTGTAATAAAAAATGGTAGTAGATGAAATTATCCAAGGAAGACTCCAGGAAAAACAGTCTAATGACACAAATGAAGAATGTTTACAAATAGGGGCTAAAATGATTATGAGGAGCAAAAATAAAATTAGCAATAAGGCAAAAGAAATGCAGAGAAAAAAGCCATTTCAAGTACTCAGAAAAATCACGGTCATAGAAATCAAGAGAAGAGAGTTTTAGGAAGCATTTCAAATGTACCTGCAAAAAGGAGATTGAGAGACATAAAAGCAGAAGACGGAACATGTAATTGGTGAGAGGGAGGACATTTTTAATTGTTATGAATTTCAGGAAATTGATAAGAGCAGAAGCCAAATATAAGGAATTAATAAGTGAAAGATAATTAGAAAATAGAGCCAGAATATTTAGACTACAGTGATAGAAACTTGGACAATGAGGGAAAAGAGTAAAAACTAGAGTTTGTTGAGAAGATAGTAGGGTATAAAGAAAGGTTTTTCTTTGTATGGGACCAGGCGGGTATTGCACATATTCATAAACAGGGTTCGAAGAAAATGTGTGTAAAGAGGAGACAGATTCCAAAGAGGTTAGCAGTAACCTTGGCAAGGAAGAAGCAATAGGGTGGAATAGGAAGAATGGGGGATAGCACATGGACAAGATTTGAATCTTAAATCAGATATCTCTGAAAACAGATCCTGGGATGAAAATTCAAGTCAGGTAGGAGTCAGATAAGAAAGGGGCCAAAGTTTCAACTGTGAGCCTTGGAAAGTTTTGGAGGGTAAACCTCATTTAGCGAGGGAACTTGACTTCAAACTCCCAGCCAGTTATTCACTGGGTAGGGCAACCCTGGAGAGATATACATTACCAAGATTTCTTGCTCTCA